TGAAAATTACTTTGCATGATAGATAGGCAAGATGTGAAAAGAAAAAAAAGGCATGAGAGAAACATTGTTTTACAAACCTTAAGATTTAATAAAAAAAAATTAGATATTTTGTGTATGAAAGCATTGTAATGTTTACTGATAAACTGCCAAATTTTGTTAACATTTGCTTACTAATTAAAAAGTTATAGCACGAAAACTATAACAAGCACAAAATGATTACGAGGTTGACCGAGCCCAGATTGAAAGAGTTAAACTGTGGTTTATGGTTTAAATATTATTCCTACCCTGAGATAATTTTTTTTGGAATATTTCTCATCATGTTGGTATCAGTGATTTGAAGAATAAATTATAAATTAAAATATGTTTCATATTTATATTAGTGTCTTGATTGTTGTTGCTTTTAGATAATACATTTTGGAGCATTTTTATCTAATATTTGGAATTTCTTTTGTACTTTATATTCGTTTTACTTTCTTCAGTCATCATACTTCACAATGTGTTATTATTATTATAGTTTTGAAGTAGAATAATATCCATGCCTGTCAGATTAAAAGTGAGAAATACTACTATTAGTCATGCTCAGTAAAGGATAACTAAGACAATTTAAATGCTAAAAATTAAACTGAAAGTATTCAAATTTTGTATGAAAATTAAAGAGATGAAAAATTTGTTTTTTAATGAACCTTTTGATTACCACAATGGGTACACCCATCTGTCCATAGTTTTTATATCATTTTTTACTAATAAGGATACATTTTTTGCCACTGCTTTGTAATAATTATTCCAAAACATTACATACCTCTGCTGCCACTTTTAGCTATTTCTCGATCTCCATCTTCCATTGTTCTTTGCCATCTAAACATTGTGTTCGCTTGCTCCAGTAGACAGCCTCCACTGAGAAGAAGAATGGACAAGATCTGGGTAGCCTCTGTGCTTGAAACTGTTACACAGGAATTCATACCCTCAAAAAAAAAGTTTATTTAACTGCAGATGAAAACAAACAAAAGATAAGCAATTGAGAGGAAAAAAAACAGAACACCAGACTACTTTCAAAATTTTACAAATGAAGATTTGAACTACAAAACATGACTCTTAAAGCTCGCACTTTGTCTAGAAAAAGTGATTATATTGTCTGCATACAGTGCTCATACACAGTACCGGCATGGAGGGCATGTGAGGGCTGGTATAAAGTTTCGCAAAATACATATTGCCAAGGGAAGTCAAGTGGGGTATAAAAGGTGACATGATTTGGGGGAGATGGAGTCCTACATGCAGCCTAGGGGTGTTTCCCCAGGGGGTTTAGAGTTGGCTTTTCATTACGAACCTGAATATAATGGGGAGAATTTAGACTTTCCTGATCCTTCTTTCACTAGGGCTACCTCTACTGATGACTCATCTGATCAGCCACCTTCTACCTCTTTTCTGAAGTCAGTTACACAACATTGTAAAGTTTTGAGGATTAACTCCATTGCTTTTGAGTCTATCTCTGCTTTGTTGTCAAATAGATCTCTATAAGTGTTGTTGGAGGAAATACATTTTCAGATTAGGAAAATGATAACATTTCAAATTAATTGTTAAGTTATTTTTTCTACACTTAACAGGTATATTTCTGAAAACAATCAAGAAAAGCATACATAAATTATGTTTGGCTGATGCTTCTGTTTGAATTGTTGATAATAGGAATTTAAGTATGTCCTTTTTACATATTTATTTTTATTAAAACTTGTATGGAGATTTTGCTGTATAGTGCATTTGTACTTTTCATTGTCTTCTGAGTTTTTTTTTTTAACTATTAACTGTAACTTGCTGAAATCAAAGGTCAAAAGGTACATATGAATTATTTTAATTGAATATTTTGTTTCAGGTGCTGACTGTAAAATAATGATCTGGAATGTTGGAACAGGAGAACTTCTTTCTGAGGTTATGCACCCTGATATAATCTTTGATTGCTGTTGGAGTTGGAATGGCAGTAGATTGGCAACAACATGCAAGGACCAAAAAGATTAGAGTATATGATCCTCGATCAGGTGAAATGCTACAGGTTGGTATATCCATAAAAAGAATGTGACAAAGGCTACTTGTGCTTTCGGTTTTTATCATTATATGTTTCTGGATTTTTTTAAAGAAACTTAAGATACAGATGCAAATATTTGATCAGTTGAAATGTGTGGAAATAAAATCTTGCTATAACCATATACATGTTAACCCTTCCGAGATGGGTCATGGATGAAAGGCCATGTCATCGCGTTTGTTGACTAGTATTCAAAATTTTATTGAACTACTATTTCATGAATTTATGTTAATAAATTTGGTATCAATCTGTGGATT